AACCCACCCCAAAACTTCATCCTACGTTCTGAGGGTCGCCTCACCAGTAGCCCAGGGGTAGAGTGAGGTGACTCCTCCCAGCTCCCTGACAGCATGGGAAGCTTGGCAAATGTTACCCACTGCCTGCCAAAAGTTCTCTTCTCTAGCTCATCTTCACACCTTGGCTCTTCTGTGGCCTCCTATGTCTAGCTGAGATGCCTAAGAGGGATTCCCTGTATCTCAAGGTCATTTACTTTGAAGAACTTTGTAACACAGCACCTTTCTTTGGAATTTTACAGCTATTATATTTTGTTGCCTGTTGGAAACTATAGTTTTCTGATTCTATTACACAGTAATAAACAAACATGATTCATGGGCCAGTCCTTGAACCACAGACCAGTGGTTTAACTATCTGGCTCTACTAAACATTTTGATTTCTGGGTGTGTATTGTATAAAAATATTTAAGGAGTGGGGGATGACTCTTGAAGAATTTTATTTAATCTTTGACCAACTCTGCTATTTAGCAGTTGTTAACTAGAGACATAGGCATATGGAGTTCATAAAACAATTTGGAATGAAATGACTTACTGAGTGGACATAGTTGATATGTTTTCTATGAAAATAGGTTGATTTCCTAAGGGTATGATGTCTCTCTTGACCACAAAGTTCTCTTCCAGCCCTAGAGGGGATGAGGCAAGACTAGAGAAAGGGGAAATCATTCTGCAATACTGAGCCACTAGGAGGTAAATTCCCCTAAATTAATTCCCTCACCAGCTGACCACTCTAAACATAGCATCATAATAGTATGCTCCAGTGAAAATTGAAGGGAGGAAAGAATGGTGGGGCATTCTATATTCTCAGGGCTGACTGGCTATCTTCATAGGTTGTTGGAGTCCCCAGCAAAGAGAGAAGGGAAAGAAACCTCACTCAGTGGTTCCCAGATGTGGAATAGCAGCCCCACTCCACACTTCCCAGATGTGGCATAGCAACATCATACAGCTGCTGCTTGTCTCTGACCTTTGCAGTTAAGACTGAGAGCCAGAAAGGGTTATAGGGAATTTTCTCTAATTTTTTGTTTGTATAAAACTGGGTAAGAAAATATTTGAATAAAATCCAAGACAGTTTCTGTTCTTTCACTTCTTAGGAGAAGTGGATCATGAACTTGGACACACTTGCTCTGAGCTTGACTTGCTAAAGCGGCAACTCTAACCTGCTGTTAGGCCACTCAGAACCAAAAGTTTCCCACCTCTTGAAGGGTCTGATAGTCTTCCTTCTCCCTGTCCCGCAAACTGCCTCAAGACATCCACCTTGTGAAGACAGGAGATTGCTGTCAAACTTCACTCTCTGTGGCTATGTGTTCTGCTTTTAGAGACTTTCCAACTCTCTGAAGATGTATTCTATAATGAGATGTGATTTTCCATTCTATTATTCTTATTTTGTATTAACATGATACCATCTGTTCAAAATGCTGTACAATTTCATGGGGGTATAGACTTCTCAAGAGCCATGGATAAACCCCAGAGGGGATTGTTCCTACCAACACCAGAGGCTTAGGCCTACCCCATATGCTTTTCATACATGTTGTTGGATATGTTTAGCTCTCTTTCCCCCATCCCCCTCAGAATCATGGTTTTAGAGATCTAATGGCCACAGAGATCATCTAATCCTGTCCACACATTCTATGGAAAAAGATATGTAGAGTTTAAGCCACTTTGTTAAGGTTACACAGCTTCTCTACACTGCTCTTCTCAACAGACAACTCAGGTAATTTAATTCCCTGTCCAATATTGTCTCACTGTATTCCTGCTTTATCTCCTCTCCCTTAAACACAGCAACCCAAACCATAAAACAAACATGTCTCAATGTATCAAACTCTGCAAAAGTACTTAATATCCTCCTGTATATATTAACACTAAGATGTCTATATTTTATAGTAACTTCAAGGCTAAACAAATAAGATCCAAGATTTTGATCCCAGATTTTGTCAAGTATTGTAAATCATAGACACACACACACACACACACACACACACACACACACACTCACACCCACACACACCTAGTTTCTAGTAGTTTTTAATTGGGAAGTGAAACAGAATTTTTATTCAGTTTATGGTTAGCTATAATTCCTGAAGCTTTTAAAAAGAATTTTATTGAGTTTTTATAATATTATACAACTGTTCCTAACCAAATTTAGACCCCCCTCCTTCATCCATGACCCCCATCACCCCACCGGACTTCATGTATTCTGCCATACATGTTAAGTCCCATCTAGTCAAACGCTTGTACCCAGATGTCCTTCAGTACAAATTCATCCACAGGAGTCTAGTCAGCCCATCTAGAGATCATATGCAAGACATACTCTCCCCAGCATCAATCAGTCTCCAATAGTCTCCATCAATCAGTTCTCAATCTAGCACCAGACCACCATCCATTTCTCTCATCCCCTCTGGACCCTTGTTTAATTGAGTTGGCATGGGACCTGTGCTTGATGCCACCATTGTCACAAGTTCACATGTGCAAGCTTCCAGTGGCCTGAAAGCCTCTGTTTCCCTGTGTTCACGAACCAGCCCTGGCTCTTACAATCTTTCTGCCCCCTCTTCCACAATGGTCCCTGAGCTGTGGGTGTGTGAGGTACAATATAGGAGTCCCAGGCAAGGATACACACTCTGAAGTCTCTTATTCTTTAAAACTTGGCCAGTTCCCACAGGTTTTGAAATGAATTTATTATTAATGATAACCAATCTACCATCTCCACCCTGACACTTATCACGCTTGGGTCTCTTCTAAAATTCATCTGTATAAAGAATGACTTGTGAGGTTATAAGGCATATAGAAGAATTCAATGTGTTGTAAAATTTTCACTAATACTATATTATCTCAAGTAGCAATGCAAACACAGTGTTGTGTTTTCTCACCAGAGAACTGAGATTCAGATGATGTCACTGGCCTAGAACTTCTCAGTTGGTAGCAGAAGGACCAGGTCTTGTAGCCAAATTGGCTGCTGGAAGAACCTTACTAGTTTCCTTCAAGGCAAGCATTAGTATAATAAAATGGGGGAAATCAAGTAGGACAAAATCAGTTGGTTACAAATTATAGTTTTGTCACAGTAAAAGGCTAGACACCTCAAATGAGCTTACTGTGAGAAATTTCTTTCTTATTTTTTGTGTGGTTCCTGAATGTGCTAACTACTCTATATGTGCCTCCCACAGCTGTATGATTTTATTATATAAGCAGAGAGAATATATTGTAGAGGAGGAGAAATTTGCAGAGGCAAGGAATGGATGGGATGGTTCTCTCAAAGCGCTTTTTATTGAGTCACATTTTATTTGTCTAAGAATTGGACCTGGAACAAGAGTAGATGTAACAGAGATGGCAAGCCCAAGGACTTAGTGGAAAAAGGAAGTTCACATTCACAGTTGTTCTCTAAACCCAAGTTCTCAGGTCACCAGGCTATGGCAAATGGGGTAGGAAGACCCGGGAGAAAGCTGTTTGTTAGACCCATGTTCTTGAGTCACTCAGACAGGGTTTGCTGAGGGTGAACCAGACATCACTAGATTTGTCCCCAAGCATTTCTCTATAAATAACTAGTGCACTGTAGGTCATGTTCTTTGTATTTTTCCATGGAAGCAAAAGCAAGGATGTGGTGGTCTATCTAAAACTGGAGGATGTAGGTTCAGATAGTAAGTTACCATAAGGTTTAGCCCCACTGATGTCCAAAGTACAACTTTTTGTAAGTTTTCAACTAATAGGAAGAGGAAACATTTGAAAAAAAGGAAAAAATACCATAGGCATTCTTCAGATTAATTTACTCTTTGGTGAGGATGGGAACAGTGGACCATGTTCAAAGAAGCCAGACTAGTTTTCCAGGCAGACATTCCATATTTACATTTGTTCCTATTTTGTTTACAAAAGGGTGTAAAAGTTTGTGATGTAATGAGATAAATATTATTTTATGACTGAAATAAAGAGACAATTTTTATTTTAGGTCTCATAAGAACCCTAAGGTGCAGTGGGAATTGGAGTGTGTGTTTTAGAGAGGCAGTGAAAAAAGATGTAAGGAAGCTCCTAGCTCCTTTCCACATACTAGACTTAATTATGACTCACTCTCCTCTCTCTCTCTCTCTCTCTCTCTCTCTCTCTCTCTCTCTCTTTCTCTCTCCCTGTTTCTCTCTGCGTGTGTGTTTGCTTCTATTGTTCTAAGACAAAAATAAATGAATTTTCTCTGAAAATGTGTTCCAGGGCCCTGATAGCATCTCAAATGGAACCAACATTTGCCAGGAACGTTTTTCCTTGTTTTGATGAGCCAGCTCTGAAGGCAACTTTTAATATTACAATTATTCATCATCCAGGCTATGTGGCTCTTTCCAATATGCCACAGCTAGGTAAGTGATACTTCCTGTCATTGTATAAAATGAGCTGTGCAATAGCTTTCATGTCAATAGCTTCTCTAGGCTGTGTGTGAGTGGCTGTCACCTGTTGTCACTGTGGAGAGCAGTCACATGAGATATATGTCGGCCCCCACACTTGAAGATGATAAATCCCAATTCCTTCTGAATTGGAACTTGGGAACACGATATTGTCTCTTCTACACATTGGCTATCTGCCTGCTCATTACTTAGGGCTTCAACTATGGCTCAGTAGTGGTAACAATTAGTGCACTTGGTCTGATTTGATGCGCTGACATGTTTTATTTGATGCAGGCGAATTTCTTATTTTGATTATATTAACCTCAACTTTTAGGGATCACATAAAAGTCTAGATTTTATTTCTTTCCTAACTCTGAAGATCTAATAACACTGAATCTGCAACACTGATATGACAAAAATGAAGCCAATAAGCATAGACTGGGCCTGTGCCCTACCCACTGCCTTGGTCTCTCTGACTCCCTGTTACTATACACCAGCCCTGTTATTTTACACACATCAGATGGCTGGTTTTATGAACAGTTGAGGCTGTGATTTCAGCTTTGGGCTCCACACTGCTGTTGCTCCTGAAAAACTCTGAAACTCAACAAAGGCAGGATTGCAGTTTGTGACCTGCCTAGGATTCAGGCAGCTCTAGATTAACTGCTATGAGAGTGTGCTAAACTAGGAAACAGGAGTGGGTAGAAACAGAGAGGGGGGTAAATGGGAGATGGGAGACCAGACTTACAGCGCTCATGGATTTGACCTTGTCAAGCCCATATAACTCAAGATGCTGATTCAAGTCCAAGATGCTGTCCTTAGATCCTTCTAATGCACTTTTATTTATTTATTTTTATTTTTATTTTTTGGTCTTTTTGAGGCAGGGTCTCCCTCTAGTCCCAGCTGGCCAGGAACCCACTATGTGTAGACCAGGCTGACCTCGAGCTCACAAAGATCCCCATGCCTCTGCCTCCCAAGTGCTGGGATTAAAGGCATGCACCATTATGCCCAGCTACTTTTATTTATTTTAAAATTATTATATAAACTGTACACATATATGGGGTACAATGTGATGATTTGATACATACATACAACATATAATGATAACATCTGTGTGGTTACCATTAGGGTTGTAAACACTAAAAAAATAGTTTTGGGGGCTGGGGAGATGGCTCAGTCCATAAAGTTCTTGCAATGTAAGTCTGAGGACAAGAAAGACACAAGGATGCTTCTAGCTTCTTTCCGTACACCAGACTTAATTTCTCTCTCTTTCTCTCTCTCTCTCTCTCTCTCTCTCTCTCTCT